TGAGCAGCCACAAACATGCTTTTTTTCACTGGAACTGTGACCAAGGTCCTTGTTCCCCTGCAGTCATAAGCTTTGGTGTGCTAGTGCTGTCCTTGCTCTGGGATTCACACCTGGGATGGTGACCCTAATCCAAGTATGGGCACTGCAACAGAATCCTGCCCCTGGTGCCAGCAGAAGGACTGCTATAATCTCCCCTTACTGTCTGTGGTCTGAGAGGCCTGGAAAACACTACTGCCACCACTGATTCAACTACCCTAAGGCCTAGTGCTGGTTTGCTGGGGTGCAGCCTGTGCTGGACTAAGCTCCATTCTCCCCCTAGTGCAACAGACCTTTACTGCTGAACTTCTAAATTGTCTTAGACTGCAAAATTATTTCACCCCATGCTTTTGTGGGTTCTGCTGCTTCAAAGTTTGTTTTAAGCAATATTTAAAGTTGTTTGGAGGGGTTTGGGAACTCAGGAGAGTCCCTGCCTTTGCTCCATTATCTTTGCCCCACATTTATGTTGATGTAATTTTCCAGGTTATATTTCTTCACTTCCTATATGTCTTTTGATACTTCTCTATTTCCTTCATATTTATGTTATCTTATATAAAGTAATACTCTATTACATTTAAGTTGAACAATTTGTTTAGTTTTTCCTCAATTAATGGACATTTAATTTGTGGTTCCAGTTTGTTAATTATTTCATATTTATCTTGTACATACCTTGCTTTGTATACATATTTTTACATGTTGTTTCCTCCATTTGATTGTAAGCTTCTTGAAGGCAAAGACTTTGTTCGTCTTTTTATATCCCTAACACTTAGCAAAATGCTGGGCACATAGCAGGCACTTAATAAACGTTTACTGATTGTGTTAATGGAACCTTTTTTCTGTCTTTTACCTCCTTTCCTTCTCCTCTGCCTACTAAGTAATGAGACATTTTGGATCATGATCCTACCGTCCACGTTAATGATATCTCCCAGCTTTGTTACATCTGCAAACTTAATAAGCAGACTGTAATAACAGTCTATAATAAGCTGATTATATTATTATAAATTTGAAGTGACACTGGAAATACCAGTGTTTCTGAAAGAGAATTTATGGAAGAACTAATGTACTTTCCTTATAATTATTTCTTTCCAAATTTAATGTTTGGAAAGGTCCAAATCATGTTCATCTATAATCAGTATTCTACTCCCTCCTCTCTACCTTCTCCAAACCCTCCACACTAATTGCCTTGCTACACACACCAGAAACCAGGTCCTGCAGGAACTTCCACCCTAGGGCATGACTGATGACTACCTCTCCAAAAGTATTATTTTAGGCAAGCCCCCAATTATGCTTCTCTTTACTCCCTCCTTTTCAGGCATCTCCTCTATAACCTCACCAACTCCCTTGTTATCAGTAAATAAATATTCGTTAATCTCCTGCTATGTTCAGGCCCTGTGTTAAATGCTGGGGAGAGAAAAAAGAGGCGAAAGACAGTCTCTGACCTCAAAGACCTGCAATGTAATTGGGGATGTAACATGTAAACAAATACATACAAAGCAAGGTCACTCTCTCTCTTACACCCACACACACACACCCCCATACACCCACACACACACACCATGTGTATGTGTGGGTGTGTGGGTGTGTGTATTATAAATAGGAAATAATTAACAGAGCGAAGGTACTAGAATAAGAGGTGTTGGGGAAGGCTTCCTGTAGAAGGTAGGATTTTAGTTAGGACTTAAAGTAAGCGTAGTAGGTAAGTAGTAGGAGAGGAGGAAGGAGAGTATTCCAGGAATGGGAACAACCAGAGAGAATGCCCAATACTGAGAGACGGAATGACTTATTCATGGAACAGTCAGGAAGCCAGTGTCATTCGATCAATGAGTACACGTCAGAGAATAATGTGTAAGACTAGAAAGGTAGGAAGGGGCTAGGTTATGAAGGGCTTTGAATGACAATCAGTGCATTTTGTATTTGATCCTGGAGGCAACAGGGAGCTACTGGAGTTTTTTGAGTGGGGGAGGGAGGACGACATGGTTACCCCTATGTTTTGGAAAATCACTTAGGCGGCTGAATGGGGGATAGATTGGAATAGGGAGAGACTTGAGGCAGGCACACCCACCAGCAGGCTACTGTAGTAATCTAGACATGAGGTGATTGAGGGACTACACTGAATTGAGTGGTGGCAGTGTCAGAGGAAAGAATGGGGCAAATTCAAGAGATACTGCAAATGTGAAATTGACAGACCTTGGCAAAAACTTGGATATGGGGGGGAGGTGTTATTTAGAGAGAGTGTCAAAAGCGTCACAGAGGTCAAGGAAAATGAGGATTGAGAAAAGGCCATTGGATTAAGCAATTAAGAGACAGTAACTTTGGAGAAAGTAGTTTGGGTGGAATGACAAGGTGGAAGAAAGATTGTAACGTTAGGAAGAGAATGAGACGAGAGAAAGTGGAGGCACCTTTTGTAGACAGCCTTTTTAAAGAATTTAGCTACAAAGGTCAGAAGAAATATAGGATAACAGCAGGGACGTTATGGTAAAGTTCTTTTCAGAACAGGGAGGGCACAGGCGTGTTTCTAGGCAGTAGGAAATGAACAAGAAGGAGAGATTGAAAATAAGTGAATCAATGACAGAAACAACAAGAATTATATTATTATTTCAATAGATGCATAACAAATTTTTGATAAAATACAACATTCATTCCTATTAAAAAAAAAACTCTAGAAAGTATAGGAATAAATGGAGTTTTCCTTAAAATAACAAGTAGTATCTATCCAAAACGATCAGCAAGCATTATCTATAATGGGGATAAACTAGAAGCCTTCCCAGTAAGACCAGGGGCATGTCACTTAACCCCAAATGCCTCTCTAAAAACAAAAACCAAAAACCAAAAACAAAAAAACAAGTAAAGGGATTAGCCTTGTAAGGGGTAGGGCTACTTTATCATGTGAGACAGGAGTGAAAGAAGAGAAAGTGGTAGCAGGCACCAGAGCAATAGGCAATATGAAAGAAAGGAGAAGAGGCTTCTTAAACTTATTTGTGTCATGGATCCCTTTGGCAGTCTGGTGAAGTCTATGGATCCCTTATCAGAACAGTGTTTTTAAATGCATAAAACAAAATATATAGGATTACCAAATTAATTCTTAATTGTTAATTCCTTAAGAGTACTCTTTGTAGCAAAGTGCTTAGCAATGTCTACCATATAGTAGGCACTTAATATTGATTGACTGTCTGAAATACAGTTATGAAAACGTTTGTTACAAAGTTCATAAACTGAGGCAGCTAGGTGGTGCAATGGATAGAGCTCTGGCTTTGGAGTCAGGAGGACCTGAGTTCAAATCTGGCCTCAGGCACCTTATGCTTACTAGCTGTGTGACCCTGGGCAAGTCACTTAACCCCAATTGCCTCACCAAAAAACCAAAAACAACAAAAAACAAACAAACAAAAAAGTTCATAAACTCCAGGTTAAGAACCCCTGAATTATTTCTTCCTAACTCCAAGTCTAACAACTTCATCCTGACTGTCTATCCCCTACATTTTCTGTTTCAAACTTTTTTTCTAAATAAAATCACCTTATCTCCATGGGATTATCAGATCCCACTGCCAATTTTTTTAAGAAAGCAGATTTTGGTGCTGGTAGGAGGGCAAGATTTAAAAAACAAACTATTGAAGGCCTATAATCTGTTTCTGTTTTCTACACTATACTTTTAAAAGGGTTATGGCAAACTGAGAAAAATTCAATATTGTCTTCTCAGCAAAGGTCTAGGACACATGTCTAGCTCTATGAGAGGCTTGAACCCTTTATTACAAAGCCTGTAATCTCATCAGTTTAGTTGGAGTATTCCTCTACTTTATCAGATCACCAGTGATCATAGAAATGTTGACATTTAGCAAGTTCTTTGTAACCAGGAGTATTATCAGCCTCTTGCTACCGTTAACACACAGCCTCCTTTTAGCTGAGGGAGTTCCCATTGTCTAGGTAGGACTGCAAGGGGAACTCAGGGGACTTTTTGATCTTGTTGTTGAGGTAGTTGGACTTATGTTTCTTTTGATCCAAATTCTAACTAAGAAAGCGTTGCAACAGAAATAAAATTACAAGTGGTAGTTTGGTGTAGTCAAAACATTACCTTTAATATGATATTTTTAGTATATTTGAATAGACTTTTGTAGGCTTCCTCAGGAATTTATTCACCATTCATGAAAAGATTGAGTCTATGAGAAAAAGAGTTCTGAGTTCCAAACTACATTCTCTAGAATAAATTTTTGTAACAAAATCTGTTTTAAATTTGAAGACTAACTGTATTCAAATAGTTCTAGACTCCTAGAAGAAAATTTAAAAGGAAGGGGTTTTATTCATGCACAAACAATGATGATTCACATTTTGACAAATAAAGAACATATTATATTATGCAGGAAATCATGAATGGATAGGCAGAAGACGAAATGGAAAGAAACTCAAACCAATTTTTTTAATCATGGGAAGCAAATGTAATCTAATTGTAAATTACACTAGAGTTTAGACCTGCAATAAGTCTAAAATTTGTGTTATTCTTCAGTATAGAAAATAATGTTTCTCAAATTTCCCTTCTTGAATAATTTGGAATAATAAGATTTTACATTTGCTTCCACAGAATCTTCAAATAAGAAAACATAATATATTTTAAAAATTAAGTTACTTTATGAACACTGTCTTTCAAGCAAGTATGAAATATGCATAAAATGGGCATTTCTCATTTTAACAGTACCCTTGGGTATGAATAAAGGTAACAAAAGGAAAAAATGCTTTCGTAATATCCAAACTGCTTTCACAATGTTATTTTCTAAATTTCCACTTATCCCAGTGGAAATCAATATGATTTTTTAAAATGGCTATACTTTGGGGGGAAGGGAGAGGGCATTCAGTTTATCTGGTTCACTTAAGAGACTAACCATGGTCAAGTATTTAATAGACTTGAAATATTCCTTTTTATATTTCTCCTGGTTTATTAGAAACTTTACAATTGAATTTCCAGACCAGTAACTTACCTGCTAAGCTGCCAAGTGTAAGTTTTCTTCGGCCCACTTTCTCAACAAGCCAGACTCCTATTAGTGTGAAGATGAAATTTGTGAAAGCTGTAACTGAGGCTAGCCATATTGCAAGTCTATCATCTTCAACTCCTGACATCTGCAAAATGGTTGCACTGTAATACCTATAAGGTAAGAACAGAAACAAGAATTTTTTTCTTGTAGTTATGTTAGTAAGAGACAAAGTCAACCAGACATAAAACTACATATAAACTCACCTCATAAACCCTGGGAAGATCTGTAGTAATAATGACAAATTAACCATAACTTGGTGTAGAGGCTAGAGTTACAGAATGAGAGATGGAGACACAAGTATTGCCAGTGTGTTGATTCGTTTTTTGGATAATACATTAGAAATGAAGACATAAGGTAGGAGCTAGGGGGCAGTAGGTTAGTGGGTACTGCTTTGCTGTATGTCTTTCATTCTTGAAGAAGACCATGACATCAGGGAGGTGATGTCATGACATACAAGTGAATTGGATTTAAGTGAGGGAGGGCTGTCCAGAGTTACCAGCCTCACTTTCTCTTTTGAAGCCATCTGGGTCCAGTGGCCAAATATTGATCAGGACAACTAGAGATGACCCAGGATACAGTGGGGAAACCTTGGCCTTTTCAAGCTAAGGTCTTTAACAGGTCTCAGTTTGACTGAGGCAGTGCCCATTCAGTGGTTAAGGCTTAACAAAATGAGGCAAAGAATGGCTTCTTTAAAAAAAAGAATAGATATGGGAGGGGAAAACCTTCAGGGTTTCTGGCCAAAACAGAAACAACTATTATTTACATTCATTCTGAGCCAGTCAGGGTCCAAACAGTGACCAAGTAGGGCTAGGTCTGGGACCAGAGTGATCTGGGGCTAAGGTTGGTCTTAAAGAGAAAAGAACAACAACAACAACAAAAACCCATAAAACAGAAGTTTCAGAGATAGGCAAAAAACAAAGGAATCAATAAAATATTATTGGGGCAGCTAGGTGGCACAATGGATAGAGCACTGGCGCTGGAATCAGGAGGACCTGAGTTCAAATCCAGCCTCAGACACATAAAACTCATTAGCTGTGTGACTTTGGGCAAGTCACTTAACCTCATCTGCCTCATATAAAAAATATATATACATAGGTACATATATATTATTAAAGTAAACAAAAGTGCTGAGGGAAATATAAATAGAGGAAATTTGTCAATACTTTGTTAAATTATGTATATTTATGTATTTCATAAAAACAAAGTGGATATAACTGGTTGACAGTTTGTATGCTTTTTTGTTTTCCTTTATCTGATAAATGTTGATTATTAAACTCACAATGAAAAGAAAATATAATTTTAAAAGATACATTTATCTTATACTGAATTGTTAAAAATATTAGATGCTTGGAAATTTTGTTATAAGGCAGAACTTAACTAAAACATTTCATAAGGATAGATTTTTTTTGAAGTTGAGTTTTTATATTTACATGGTATGATAGGATCATGATCAATCAGGGTTCCCCCTGCCATATAGTGTGATAGCATCATTGTTTCCTTGATGATACTTCTTTCTTCCAACCCACAATATGGGGAGGCTTTACCTAAATAGAAGACAAAGCTGTCCTTAGGATAGAGTTGACTTATGTGATTGGCCCCAGCTTTCTAGATGTAACTTAATTCTCCACTATTCCCTTCCATCACACCCCTCCCCCCAAGCCAATTTGGAGTAAGTCAAGGACAAAACTCCCCCTGGAAATTAACTGGCCCAGGCTTCATCAATGCAGCTTCCTGATAATCTAAGGACAAACATGGAATCTAGGCTCCTTTGATTTGGTGGCTTTCTATTACTCCATGTAAGTAATTCACCTGCCTTGATGACCAGATGAATATATGGAAATGAGAAGCTCCATTGAGAGAAGCTAATTGCTAAACATTTTTGCTATGGTAGAGTCAAGTAAACCTCCTCTTGCTAAACATTTAATGACTTGTGAATGCATCATTTCATCTCCAAATGGAGTCTGAACTAAGCAAAAGAGTACTGGCCTTCAAGCCCCATCTTTAACAATTGGTTTAGTCAGCAAAGGGCCATGACACCTTCTCACTCCCAGAGAGAGCTTTGGGTGTGGCTCCTGAAACCTAGAGTTGAAAAGAAAGTAATCAATGCTGGCATTTGGGGGTGCGGAGAACCTATGGCCTCCAGGCCTTTTGGTGCCCTTTGACTAAATCCAAGCTTCACAGAACAAACTCCCTTAACAAAAGGATTTGTTCTGTAAAACTTGGACTCAGTAAAAAGGCTTCACTTGAGAATCTAGAGGGTCACATGTGGCCTCAAAAGTGAAAGTTCCCCACTCCTACAGCCCATAGGGGTGTCAGTAAAACTGTACAGGGAAATTCAGCACCCAAGCCTGGCAAGTGGCACAATGAATAGATTGCTGAGAGGAGAGTCAGGAATACTGACTTCAAATCCAGCAGTAGACACTTGGTAGCTGTGTGACTGGACAAATCACTTAATCTGTTTGCCCCAGTTTCCTCATCTGTAAAATGGGAATAATAATAGCATCTATGTCCCAGGGGTGTTGTGAGGATCAAACAAGATAATAGTAATGTCTGGTACATAGTAAGCGCTATATAAATGTTAGCTATTATTTTTAAGATGAATGTAAAGATATGAAGGGCTTTGAATGCCAAATACAGGATTTTATATTTTGGAGGTGACAGCAAGCCACTGGAGTTTATTAAGTATGGAGGTGACATGGTCAGACCTATATCTTAGAAAGATTACTTTGCCAGCTGACTGGAGGATAGACTGGAATGGGGAAAAAATTGTGACAGACAACAAAAGTTGCAGAGAAGGTCACTAGGGATGAGGATTGACCATTAGATTTGGCTATGAAAAGATTGCTATTAATTTTGGAGACAGCAGTTTTGGTTGAACTTTGCCAACTTTGGTTGGCAAAGATACTAGAGTGGTTTGCCATTTCCTTCTACAGCTTACTTTACAGATGAGGAATTGAGGCAAATAGGGTCAAGTGACTTGCCCAGGGTCACACAGTTAGGAAGTGTCTGAGGCTGGATTTGAACTCATGAACATGAGTCTTTCTGATTCCAAGACAACGTGCCACTTAGCTGCCCCTAGTGAGTTAATTAGAGAGATGTAAAAGAATTGCCTGGCAGCTGTGAGGTCCCAGTTGAACTGTGTAACATTAATTTTTAGTGGACCCAGTCAGGATATTTTCATGCTATTTCTCCACCTTCATTCAGCAGCACATTTACAGGAGCAATGGGAGTAAAAGGTAGGAAAGATCTAAGGCTGAGGCAATTTGGCAGGGTAAGATAGTTGATATATTAAAGGGTCAAGGGGCTCAAGAGATAAGGACAGCATAAGAAGTCAAAATGAGGAGAAGAGGGTGGCTCTTGCAAAGGTGATGGCTTAGGAGAGAACTGAGGGATCATAGGATTGGAGGACATGGTGTTGACAAAGAACAGGTTGGGGGGGGCAGCCAAGATGGCACAGTAAAGGCAGGAACTCACCTGAGCTCTCCTCCAAACTCCTCCAAATACCTTTAAAAAATGGCCTTAAACAAATTCTAGAGCAACAGTACCCACCAAAAAAAATGGAGTAAAACAAATTTCCAACCCAAGATCACCTGAAAGGTCAGTAGGAAAGGTCTGTCGCACCAGGGTGAGAGAAGCACAATTCAGCATGGGCCAGGCCAGCACAGACCTGGCCAGCAAACTGAGCACAGGCCTCAGGGCAACTGAATCATTGGCAGCAGTGGCGGTTTCCAGACCTAATAGCCCACAGATGCCAAAACAACTTGAATGGTGAGCAGCAAGAGTCTGTCCCACCTAGGTGAGAGTGGAACACAGTCTAGTGTAGCCCTGGCCTCAGCAAATCAGGAGCATGCCTTAGGATTGACTGAATCAGAAGCAGCTGCTTCAGGATCTCTGAGTCCAAAGAGTTCTTTTTGCTAGCACAGGGACAGGACTCTCTTCTTTTGCACACACTTGGATCTGAGTCACAGCAGGAGCACTAGGATAGCAGAGCTTGCGTCCACAGTGGAGGGGGCACCATCCTCACAGTTCCAGGGCAGAAAAGAGTGCTTGTGGTCACTCACAGACCAGGGCATAGGTCAGGAGAGGAGTAAACACCTCTCCTTAGATCATACCACCTTGGAAGAACTGAAAACTTACAGGTCCCTAGAAGTATTTCTGAAAACAGATGCACAAAACCCTTGAAGCTTGAGACAGTGCACCTTCCACCCTGCAAGCAGAGACCTACTTTATCAAAGGGTTAAAAATTAAGTAATAGGTTGGGGGAAATGAGCAAATGATGGGAAAAAAACCTCTGACTATACGCAGTTGATACGGTGACAAGGAAGATCAAAACACATACTCAGAAGAAGACAACAAAGTCAAAGCTCCTACATCCAAAGCCTCCAAGAAAATATGAATTGGTCTCAGGCCACAGAAAAGCTCAAAAAGGATTTGGAAATAAAGTAAGAGAGGCAGAGGAATAATCAAGAAGAGAAATGAGAGTGATGCAAGAAAATCATGAAAAACAAGTCAACACCCCAGTAGAGGAGATGCAAGAAAATACTTAAGAAAATAACACCTTAAAAAACAAACTAGAGTGGATAGAGCACCATCCCTGGATTCAGGAGGACCTGAGTTCAAATCTGGCCTCAGACACGTAACACTTACTAGCTGTGTGACCCTGGGCAAGTCACTTAACCCCATTGCCCAGCCAAAAAACAAAACAAAACAAAACAAACAAACAAAAAACTAGGCCAAATAATAAAAGAAATGCAAAAAGCCAATAAGGAGAGGAATATCTTAAAAGCATAATTGGCCAAATGTAAAAAGAGGTCCAAAAGCTCACTGAAGAAAATAATTCCATAAAAATTAGAATGGAGCAAACAGAAGCTGATGACTTTATGAGAAATCAAGAAACGATAAAACTAAAAGAATGGAAAAATGGAAGACAGTGTGAAATGTCTTAATGGAAAAACAAATTACCTAGAAAATAGATCCAGGAGAGATAATTTTAAAATTGGTGAACTACCTGAAAGCCCTGATCAAAAAAAGAACCTAGACATCATCTTTCAAGAAATTATCAGGTTCCCCTTCCAGGAGCCAAGATGGTGGAGTATGAAGTAAATTGCTC